CTGGCTTGGACCTGCGGATGGACTTGAGCTCCCCCAGGCTCACGGAGAAGGCCCAGGAACTCCGAGGACAGCTGGGCTCTGCACCTAGGGGAAGCAATGCATTGCTGGTGTGGTATCAACAGCAGGACAGGCCACGTCAGCGTGTTCTCTGCACAGCAGTCTTCTGAAGTCTCGGTGGAAGCTGCCCTCTACCTCTGAGAACTCTGGCACTTCCTTAGAAGTAAACTGCCTAAGATTAGAAAGCACCCCAGTGGATATGTCTGTCCCAGAATGTCCTAGAACCTCCCCAGGCTTCCCTCGGTCTTCAGTTTGAGAACTACCTTCCTCTGTCCCTAGTCTTCTGGCTGTCTTACCTCTCCAACACTCTCTTTGCTCCAGACCCTACTTGAGCCACAACAAAAGGTTTGGGAGGCTGAGCATGGTGACACACACCTTTAACCTTGGTACTTGGTAAGAGGCAGGCAGACATAGTGAGAACAAGAGAAGAAGAAGAAAAGAAGAAGAAGAAGAAGAAGAAGAAGAAGAAGAAGAAGAAATAATTACCCTATGATTAGTTGCCTATCAGGTTTTCCATAACCCACAAGCCTAGAAACCTTTAGGAGAATTCATGGGTACACCTAGAACCAAGCCATTCTTTCGTAGGCCAGAGAGGAAGCATCTGGAAGCCACCCTGACTGTGGGTGAAAAGCCTTTGGAACCATGATCCGGCAGATCACTGCAGCACAGCTCCACCTACCTCTCCTGGGCTCTGCCAGGTGTGGCCGTGGCCGCACTGTGCTGATGACAGCCCAGTCAGGTTCATAGCCGGGGTCAAAGGTGGGTTCCTCCTCTGAGGCACTGGGCTCCCCTCCACTTGGGTCCTTGAGAGAAAGATAGGGAATAGAGAGCTGTGCTCGCAAGCAAAAGTTCCCAGCTTGCAGCTGGAAGCCCCAGAGACAGCAGCCCTTTAGAACAAGGGCGCAAACAGGCAGGAGGGGCATAAAGCTTGCTTGGTGGCTTGGTGGCTGAGGAAGAGTCAGGCTAGAACCCTAGATTCATGGCTACGCCTGAGGCCACAGCACCAACAGTCCAGATTTCAGTGAAAGGACAGGGGCCTGCTCTGCACTGACTTTTCACTGTAAGTGAATGAAGAGCCATAAGTGACGGCCATGTCACTGTGACTAACTGTGAGTCTACAGGGGACACTGCTATGACAGTTCCGTGGTGGACAGAAAGGGGATACTGTAGAGCAGCACCAGCCAGATGGCTTGGCATGTGAGATGGAGGACCTGAGTCCAGGCCGCAGAGCCCACAAGGAAGAAGGATGACTCCTCCAAGTAGTACATACATGAGTAAGGAAACAAAGCCCAAAGAGTTTGGTGTTTCACAGGCTCCCGCGATCACAATAACCAGTTTCCAGCACGGGTCTGCACTGCCATCTTCTGGCTTCGGCATGCACCCACAGGGAGTGCACACGCATGCCCATACACTCACACCGCACCCACCCACCTCACAAACTCAATCTCTGGGCTACTGAGCTGGTTCAGATTGCTGCGAAACCTGACAACCTGCATCAATCCCTGGGACCCGCGCAGGGGAGGAAGGTTATCCTCCGACTGCCACACCCACGCATGTGAATGCACACCAAATGTTACAAATATAAAGCTACTAGGTGAAACTAGATCGGAGGGAAAAGACAGCTACCTCACACCAAACTCAGGCCACACCCCTAAAGAAATGGGAACCCAGGCTTTCACCCAACAGGGTTCCCTAAGCAGTCAAGAGGACAGGACATCAGGTCGTTTCACAAAGCAAACAGGCTCGCAGGTTCCCGAGTAACCCCTGCCTTGAGTGGCGAAGAGAAGCGGTGCGCCTACCTTCTTGGAGAAGATGATCTGCGCCGGGTCTCCAGCCTCCTCCACCGGAGCCCAGTGCAGGAGGACGTCACTGTCCTGAGGGACGTGGGGAGGACTTAGTAAAGTCGCCCGACTGCCCTCAACCACCAACCCGAAGTTCCCCTGATGCCACCTCCATCCCGTTCACCTTCTCCACCACACGGATGACGCCCGCGATGAGCGAGTCCGGGTCCTGGTGCTTCCTGGCGCTGGTGTGCAGATACACGCCTCCCTTCTCAAATACCACCTAGGGGCGGGCGCGGTGAGAGCCATGGTCTAGGAAGGAGCCCTCCCAGGGGCGGGGTCCAGAGACACAAGCGGACCAGCCAGGATGGGGCGTGCCGAGCCCACAGCCCGCCCGCGCGCGGGGAGGGCGTGCGCGTCCCAGGGGAGGGGCTAAGGCCGACTCTCCCTGCCGACCCTGGAGATGACAGCGTCTTTACCAAGAATCAGTGCTTACTAAATTAGCTCTGCCTCGTCCCTGCACAGCGGAAGGTGGAAGCAGACCATCGCGGGGGGAAGGGGGTGTCGCCTTAGACCAGCGAGGGAATGAGTCCCGAAGTCTTACCCTGTAGCTGGATCCGTCCATAGCCACCGCGGAGGTTCCACTGCCCCAATCTCCTCCCTTTCCGGGTCAATGAGGTGTCATATCCGGAAAGAACACTCCCTTCCAGGCCAGATAATGGTAGCGCCTCTGAAGCTGTGGAGCTGCAGTGGGTGAAACCATCTGTCAGAACAGGGTAGCTGAAACGTCAAGGGTCGGGCCACGTGGTGTAGACAACACCCTTGTTCAGGGTCAACGAGGCGGCGCAGGCGCAGTGTAGCACTCTCGCCACGAAGTAAACAAGTGGTCGGACCCGTGATCGCTACCCGACGACTCGTGACCGCCAAGGAACGCCTCCTTCGCTCTCTCCATATTTTATACTGGCGTAGAAGCCAACATTGTGCCATTTTCCTCGAGGGCAAGCCATAGCGGCTCGGTGGAGGCCATGTTAATGCGGGGCACTACCATCTCTTTGCGGGGCGGGGCGGCGAGGTGTTGGAAAAGCGGAACAGAGACAGGAAAAGGTGAGAGGAGCTGTGTAGTACCAGAGGCGCGGAGGGGCTCGGGATAAGGGGTCAAGCAGTCAAGCTCCTGGAAACGAAGTTGCCCCAAATTTCTGAGTCACCGTGGAAAGAGGGCTGCGCCACCATTTTTAAACTGGGCAACCCGAAGCTAGAAATGCTGCCATATTGAATCTTTGCCAGCTTTGTGCTGAAGAGCAGGGGTGGGAGGAAGCGGTAGGCTGGACGGAGGGAAGAGTCCCTACGCACTATTGGCATATGAAGCCATACTGACTAGCACGACGGAAAGGGAGCCTTTTTTCCTCCACTTCTGTGTTAGGAGTTGATTACGAACCGAGGGACGTCAGGCCGCTTGCCTTCGCTATTGTCCTGTGTGAGCGTGGGCATGCAGCCGTATTTGTTGCGGGCAGATCGAAATGATGTAGCTGAAGTCTTTTACAGTCTTTCCCATGGGCACTCTGCCCTTGCCTTGCAGAGGAAGCTTCTGGTTGCTCTTTTGATTTGGGGCATCTAGGATAAGGGAGGCGGAGTGTACGCAATGGAGGAGGGGCAGCTACACGGAAGTGATGCAAGAAGCCGCCATGCCTTTTGAGGGCGGCGACGGCGCCTGGCCGGCCATGCTGGCTACGGGCACGTGAGTGGAGGCGGCGTTGTGAGCTGGGGTTTGGGGAGGATCTGGCTTTCCTTAGGTTGAGGGGCCATGGGAAGGCGTGTGGCCATGGGAAGGGTACAGTGTGCGTAGGTCAGGGGGCACTGATCTCCTTGTGACCCTTGGCTGAGTGCTGAAATGGCTAACGCTCAATCCCTCGTGTCTGACTCGCGACGAAAGCTAGACAAGCTTCACCTCGGTGTTGCAAACGGGCTGGGACTCTCACATTGGAGGCGAACCAAGTCCGTGCAGTTGTGTTTTGGGGGGTCCGCTGGTGGGTGAGGGGGTGTCCGTGGGCGGGACTTCCGGTCAGATCCCCGCCGGGGGCGGGACTTCTTGTTTTCTTCCTAGAGTAGGGGCCTCGCTGGTCCGCGGGCGTGGTTCAGCCCCGGGCCGCAGCCTTCGGTGGTAGGATCCCCCTGGGACGCCCCGCTCTGCGTCCCGTGCTGCAGCCGTTTCCTTCCCTATCTCCCGTCACACCTGTCCTGGGAGGCCTGCACTTTCCCGCTGGATAGCTCCCCCTTGCTGGTCTGCCCCTGCCTCTCACCTCATAGGAGATCACAGGCCTAGGAGGTCCGAGTAAGTCGCCCTCCTTTGAGCCGCCTTCAGAAGCCACTCAGCCTGTTTTCACACTGCTGTTGCTAGGAGCTGGGTCCTGCCATCATTTGCTCTCTCTTCAGAGAAGTGAGGACCCAGGCTAATAGCGTACAGGTCGTGCCATCTTTTGGACCAGTCACTTTTCTCGCCCTGAGCCTTAGCCTTATGTTTCCAGCCTCCTTTCTCAGCTAGGAAGGGTGTGAGGTGTGAGTAGGAGTCGCTGGGTGGCTCCTAAAGCTTTGGTGGGACTTTAAAGTCCAAAGACAGCGTTATCAAACCACTACAGCTCATTTCTGCGGCTGTGGCAGGTGTCTGCAGCTTTCTCCTCAATGGAAAGTTGGGATGGGCAGTCTAGTGTCTTGAAGCAGGCAGGGTAGCGCTCAGGATTGGCAAAGGGCTCTGACACTGTCCTTGTCGGTGGCCAGTTCAGCTGGTGGGACAGTCAAGATCTGGTCTTCCTGAGTTTGGAGCTTAAGTCCTGAAAATGCAGTGACCACTGCTCTTCATGCCATAGGAAGTGAGAGGTTGCTTAGGAATGGTTATCGCATTCTGGTCCAGCGTGTGAGCAGTTCCCACCTTGGGGAGTTGGGTGGAAGGTGGCAGGGTGGAGTCTTTTTTTTTTTTTTTTTTTTTTTTTTTTTTTTTTTTTTTTTTTGGTTTTTCGAGACAGGGTTTCTCTGTGGTTTTGGAGCCTGTCCTGGAACTAGCTCTTGTAGACCAGGCTGGTCTCGAACTCACAGAGATCCGCCTGCCTCTGCCTCCCGAGTGCTGGGATTAAAGGCGTGCGCCACCACTGCCCGGCTCAGGGTGGAGTCTTTTGAGTGTGCAGGACAGCTTGCAAGCTGCAACCAGATTCCAGATTCTGCTTCTCTTTACTGTGGTCCTGATGCGCTTGAATCCCCCCAGGGTGAGGTGCGCACTGCCTGTCAAGCAGGGGCTTCAGCTGCCACACCCCCTGGTGTGTGGAAAGAGGCAGCGGTCCATGGTTCCACTGCAGGAGCCAGGAGATTGGCAGCGGTGCAGCTGTCAGCGGGCCCTGAGCAGCTTGCTCCCTCCTTCCCCCACATTCAGCCAGAGCTCAGCCCTGTCCTAAGAGAGTGGCCCTGGAAGCCCAGCAAGGGGACTGGGGTGACCCAGGGAGGGACTGTCTCCCTCCCCAGCTGAGTGTAAGGTTGGCAGTGACCTGAGGCCAGTGAGCTGAGTGTGCGGTCCATCTGGTCCTGGAAAGTCTGAAGGGCAGAGCTCCACAGCAGTGGAGGACCTGCTGGACCAAATGAAGGATGGGAGGCTGGCAGGGGCCGGGGTGCTTTGCTGCAGAAACCGTGCAAGTCACCTGTGGTTTTCCTGGAGCCCGGTCTCTGTGACAGTTTTGCTCTAGCCTCTGAGTGCTGTGATTTCAGGTGTATGTCCCCCCTGCCTGGCTCAAGTGTGTTAACACCCTACACACCGAGGACAAGGTACACATGAAATCCATGTAAGTCTTCAAAGACACAGGCTGGGTGTGTGCGCTGCACACCTCAAATCCCAGCTACTCCGGTAGTAAGGAAGGAGAGTCGCTAGGGCTGCGTGTTGGTCCTAGCTTACAAACCAGACAGGCCTTGATGTGGCCGAGGTGGTTCTTGCCAGCACTCGGGAAGTCTTGGGTTCAGTTCCCAGCCCCACATAAACCAGGTGTGGTGGTGTGCATGTGTAACACCAGCACTCAAGAGCTGGACACATGGGGTCAGGACTTAAAGGTTATCTGTAGCCATATAGTGACAGGAGTACTTGAGACCCTGTCGCAAAAAAATAGGAAGACCCCAGGCTGAAATAACCACAGACCAATTTGGCTACAGCGCTCATGGCCAAGCAGGTGAAGACTTCAGACTTTGGAGTGGCCCCTGTGTGGAGCTGGAAATGATGGTGGCTAGTATGGGTCCTGGGGGAAGCAGGTCTGGGAAAGGGGTGGAGCTCAGCTGAGAGGTGCATGCCGTGGAAGGGGAGTCGCATTGGGGCACTCGGCCCTCGGGATGGGTAGTGATGGCACAGCCTCAGTCCCTCTGTCCTGCTCTGGCCCACAGGGCGCGGATGGCGTCTGGGCGGCCAGAGGAACTGTGGGAGGCCGTTGTGGGGGCTGCCGAGCGCTTCCGGGCCCGCACTGGCACAGAGCTGGTGTTGCTGACTGCAGCGCCACCACCACCACCCCGCCCAGGGCCCTGTGCCTATGCAGCCCATGGCCGCGGGGCCCTGGCAGAGGCTGCACGCCGCTGCCTCCACGACATCGCTCAGGCACACAGGGCTGCCACCGCCACCCGACCTGGTCCCCCACCAGCACCACAGCCGCCCAGCCCTGCTCCTAGCCCTCCGCCTCGGCCAGCCCTGGCCAGGGAGGATGATGAGGAAGATGAGGACGAGCCCACTGAAACAGAGACTTCTGGGGAGCGGCTGGGCGGTAGTGATAATGGAGGTGAGCTGGGGTGCGGGGTTGGTACTGGGCTGGGGTTGCTGGTTTCTGGACACTTGTCCTAATGCATCCTTAGGAAGGCATTAAAGCATTCCCTGGCAGCCTCACACAAGATCCAACAGCACACAACACAGTATGTTGAGCAAACAGTTTCCTTGACTGCTTCTGGTCTGGCTAAGGTTCTCTAAGAGATGCAGTTGTCTCTGGAAAGAAAGGGGAGGTAGAGCAGTTTGCTGGGAATGGTGTACTGCCACAGCTGAGGGAGCCGGGACCAGGGTTCCGGGCACTCGGCAGCATTTCCAGTTCTCACAGAATCCCACTCTGGGCGGCTGGGTCCAGAGACTGCTGCTGGGGAAGAGTCGGAAAGTGGATGTTTCTCCGAGCGTGAGATGAATTCTCATTTGCCATCTTTGCCCACGGCTGGTCACCTCATCCTGTCCTGAAGGACAGAAACTCGAGTCAGGCGTTCTAACATCAGATCTCTGAGACTATAGGCAAGTGGTCTGGCCACAGCATCTTCCGTTTGTCCCCACCAGACCAACTTTTTTTTTGGAACTATTTTGGGTGACATTGTCCCAAGCAGATCTTAAGAGGTTCCATGTTGAAGCTAGCAGTGGCTGAGTGAGCAGACAAGCAGATGAAGAGTGTTGAGGCCCAGGGACCAATTGCAGGGCCTGTTGTACCCACAGGACTCTTCATGATGGATGAGGACGCCACTCTCCAAGACCTGCCCCCCTTCTGCGAGTCAGACCCGGAGAGCACAGATGGTGAGGATCCTGGGTTGTTCAAGCCCTAGGAGGCCAGGCCGAGGGTAGGGGTACAGAAGCTGAAGCCTCCCTGTGTCACAGACGGCAGCCTGAGTGAGGAGACCCCCGCCGGTCCCCCAGCCTGCCCCAAGCCCCTGGCCGCAGCCCTGCCCACCCAGCAATACGCCAAGTCCCTGCCTGTGTCGGTGCCAGTGTGGGCCTTCAAGGAGAAGAGGGCGGAGGCGCGATCTTCAGATGAGGAGAACGGCCCGGTGAGCGGGGAACGAGGCCGAGTGGCCTCTCTTCTCCATCCCAGGACACCCTGCAGTTTAGGAGGAAGGCCCCTTGTCTGTTCAGAGTCGTTTTTGAGGGAAGGAGGGTCAGATTGTCTCGCAGGATTCCTTTCCCCAACATCATCCTGGATGTGGTTCCTTCAGGCAGCACTGAGAGGAAAGTTAGATGACTTTCCTCAGCTTTGCATGGCCAGGTCCCAGTATGACACCCGGATCCGGGCGGGGACCTGCTGTCCTGGCTGAGAAGCAGCCAGGTACCCTGGCACCTGAACCCCTGTTCTTTGTCAGAGCCAGGAGGGAGTGGGGGCGGAACGTTCTGGTTCCTAGTGGGCTGGACAATCCGGGCGGGCAGAAGGACATCGCGGAGGCGGCGCCTGTGCACTGAGGTTTCCTCCCTCCACAGCCCTCCTCGCCCGACCTGGACCGGATCGCCGCTAGTATGCGGGCACTGGTGCTGCGGGAGGCCGAAGACACCCAGGTCTTCGGGGACCTGCCGCGGCCGCGACTCAACACCAGCGACTTCCAGAAGCTGAAGCGGAAATACTGAGTGGGCAGCACGCCCAGCGGGCTGAGGCCGGCGGAAGGCCACTGTCGCCGTTGGTCTATAAGCCATGAGCCTTCTCCGCCCAGCAACAGGACGATTCTTTGCGGGATTGGCTCGCTCCGGTTTGGAGCTGGGCTAGTTCTAAAACGCTCAGTGGGTCAACTCCGTCTCTTGCCTAGCAACAGAAGCTTTACCCGCGCATCCTTGGCTCGCTGCCCAAGCACCAGAGCCCATCTGCGGGACCAGGCGATGGCTCCGCCCATGTCCGGAGAGTCGCCCGTACCCCTTCTCGAACCCCCCACCCGATTGGCCCTGGCCTCCTGGGGGCGTGGTCAAGCCCTCCCGAACCCAGAATTGGCCTGAGGTCTTGAGTTTGTTACACTACTAGGGCTGGGTTTTTTTTTGTTTGTTTGTTTGTTTGTTTTGGCCCGAATCCTGACACTTGTATCCGGTACCCCACTGGATGGTCCTGTCCGCTCTGCGTCTGATGCCCCCTTAAGTTTCTCCCCACGACAGTCTGTCCATCAAAATCTGTCCTATACACAGGGCGGTACCAGCTTCCTGTGTCCTGTCCCCACATCCCCCGACCCCAACAGGTGCCTTAAAGGGCCCTCTTCCACCCAAGGTAGGGGGCCTCACTCTCCGGCCCTGGCCCTGGGTGCGGGAGAGTAGGGTGGGGGCCGGGGGTCGGGAGGGATGCTCTGAAATTAAAGTTTTACCTCTGGCTAGTGAGTGCGTGGTGTGTGGGTGTATGGGCCGCTTGTCTAAAGTGGAGCTGGTTTCAGAGCATTCCCGGGCGGTTACGGTGGAAATGTGGTTTTCGGGAACGTGATGGCGGGAGTGGGTAGAGAGGTGACCGTAGGTGAAACGGGCTGGGGAAATTTGTCACCTTCCAATTAGTCACATGGATTGCCTCCCTTTTCTTGTTTGCCTTTGCCCTTTTGTTTAGTTTTTCCCAAGACCGGGTTTCTTTGTGTGGCCCTACCCCACCACCCCAGCTTTAGTGCATCTGTCCCAGGAGGTAGACGTGATTTTTCCATTTTGCAGCAGAGAATTTAGCATCATCGAAGCAAAGGAAGAGTGTGGTGAGGCCATGAGCTTCTAATACTAGGGACAAATGCCGCTTTGCGCTGTCAGAAGAGTGGAGAACGCCACTTCTATGCACGTCTATCATTCCAGCAACAAGGAGGTGGATTTAGGAGGCATAGAAGTCAGTTAATGTTAACCTGGATTTCCAGAGACCCTGCCTCAAAGGACAAAACAGCCAGGCATGCTGGTACATGCCTTTAATCCCAGCATTGGGGAGGCAGAAGCAGGTGGTATGTTGAGCGAGTTCCAGGATAGCCAGGGCTATACAGAACAACACACACACAACTACCACCACCCTACAGCTGAAAAAAGCTAAATTCATTCTTAAGGTGTTTTCTTTCCATGGACCTGTGTCAACCCAACAACACCGTAGCCACGACCAAATGCCATATAAAAGGAAAGAAACCGGGGCTGGAGAGATGGCTCAGCGGTTAAGAGCATTGCCTGCTCTTCCAAAGGTCCTGAGTTCAATTCCCAGCAACCACATGGTGGCTCACAGACATCTGTAATGGGGTCTGGTGCCCTCTTCTAGCCTGCAGGCATAAACAGAGACAGAACATTGTATACATAATAAGTAAATTTAAAAAAAAAGAGCCGGGTGGTGGCGCACGCCTTTAATCCCAGCACTTGGGAGGCAGAGGCAGGCGGATCTCTGTGAGTTCGAAACCAGCCTGGTCTACAAGAGCTAGTTCCAGGACAGGCTCCAAAACCACAGAGAAACCCTGTCTCGAAAAACCAAAAAGAAAAAAAAAAAAAAAAAAAAAGGAAAGAAACCATCAATGACCAGGCGTGATGATGCTGGTTTATTTTGGTTTTTTTCCTTGACAGTTTCTCTGTTTTCTGTCCAGGAGCTTGCACTGTAGACCAGGCTGACCCTGAACTCGGAGATCTGCCTTCCGAATGCTGGGATTAAAAGCATGTGCCACAACCGCCCGACTGTAGTGCTTGCTTTTAATACCAATATTTCGATAGCAGAGGCAGGCAGATCTCTGCAAGTTCGGGGTTAGCTAGGGTGTTGTGGTGGGCTAGTATCCAAGTCAGATAATTCATGTGGGCTGAAAGATAAGCCCAGCTGGACCTATTGACAGCGGATTTCACTCAGAGAAGAAGGAGGAGGCAAAGAAGTCATGAGACCCTGAGTGCCTTGCTCTTCTCACAAGCGGACGTAGGCACTTTTGCCTGAATTGCCTGTGGCCTAGGCAGAGGCTAAAGGATGCGGGTGAGGAAGTAGGGGAAAGGTGTCATGCCTGCTAGGTGTGGCCCTTGCTCCCCTGGCTAGCACCACCCCCAGTGCAGTAACAACCCTCACCTATGCTCTGTAAACCCAGTAAGCTCATTGCCTCCCGGAATGATCTTTGGTGGGATCGTATTTCGGTTTATCTTTCAGACTTTTAAGAGGAACATAGACATTGCTTAGGTTTTCACCTGGAAAGCAACTTTTCTCACGGTAGTCCTGGCTGCCCAGAGCTTGCTATGTAGACCGGGCCGGCTTCTGCTGGGATTAGACAATGTGCCACTGTGCCCAGAAAGGAATTTTAACAACACGGCTACGTTCTGGGCCCCTATCACTAAACAAAACCAAGTTAACTCCCTCGTAGGGACCTAGTGCCCACGGATACAAATGCCCCTTACCCACACGGGCTTATAAAGCTGCAGGCAAATCAGGGGCGGCGCATGTGCTGTGGGAGGAGTCAGACCTGACTGTGGTGAGTTTGGGAATGAACTCAGAAGTGACCCCCAACAGTAAACTAGCCTCACTAGCTACGTATTGGAACTGCTGTGGTAGCCTAGGAAACGTTGAACCCGCCCATAGGCAAGGGGCGGGATTTCCGGGCGACTCTAGTGGGAAGGCAGGACTTCCGGTAGCAGACCGTAACTGGCTGCCGAGCCGTGAGTCTGTTCTCCTTTGCCGCATCCCGGGATGTCACAGCTGGGATGCCGGGGCCGCTTGTGGCTGCAGAGCCCCGCCGGGGGACCGCCCCCTATATTTCTGCCGTCAGATGGCCAAGCCCTGGTCCTAGGTCGGGGACCCCTGACCCAGGTGACGGACCGGAAGTGCTCCCGAAATCAAGGTGGGCGCGGGAGAAGTGAAATTGCGGCGGCGAGAGTTGCAGGGGAGGTTGTGCCGAACCAGAAGCTAGACGGGGCTTTTGGGGAGGGACCGAGCGGGTCCGGGAGACTATCACCGGACGGAGGAGGATGCTCACAGCAGAGACGGTCTCTGGGCAGGGTGTATAGGTCTACTCTATGTGTCTCATGGAAGCCATCCTACAGATAAAAATAGACCTATCCTGTGCCACCCCCGGGTCTCTGACATCCTAGGAACCCTGGCCTCTGTGAGTGTAGGGCCCGGTCCTATTGAGGTCCTCGGGCTCACCCGTCATCCAGGCACTTGAGTGGTAGAGACATAAGAATCCGTTTAAGGCCAGCCACCAGTGTGTGGCGAGTACTAGGCTACTCTGGGCTACTTGAGGCCCTGTGTTGGGGGTGGGAGGAAAGTGCCTCTTCCTCCGAAGTGCAATACGTAGTCTGTAGCTGGCCATGTCCCCATACGTGATGTAAACCCTGACTCCATCCCCTTACCCTCAGTGGAGCTGATTGCAGACCCTGAGACCCGGACAGTGGCAGTGAAACAGGTACCAGTGTCTCAGCAACGGGCAGCAAGGTCTTGGGGGAGGGGTCGGGGTGGGTCACAGCTCTTCAGAAGGCTGATCAGCTATTCGCTTTTCCACCGTGCCAGACTGGATACCTGTAACCTTTCAAAGTTCTGATTGGTAGCACGAAATGAATTGGTGGGAAGAGTAAGGGTCTGTTTGTGAAATGGGGTATTGGACTTGGTGAGGGGGCGGGTGTTCCCTAAAGGGGTGGAGCCAACTCTAGCTCTCCCTTTCTCTGCAGCTGGGCATTAACCCATCAACTGTTGGGATCCAGGAGTTGAAGCCAGGGTTGTCAGCTTCTCTACGCTTGGGGGACACCCTGTATCTAGTCAATGGCCTACACCCCCTAACCCTGCATTGGGAAGAAGTTAGCACATCAGGATCCCAGCCAGATACTCCACCGGGCACTCCCCCTGTGGATTCGGTGGACCCGGAGGTTGCTGAGCCTCCAGAAAAGAGGGTGCGGAAATCATCCCCTGGCTGGGAGAGCTTAAAGAAGTTACTGGTGTTCACAGCATCTGGGGTAAAGCCCCGGGGCAAGGTGAGGTCACAGTCGTGTCATTTACTTCAAAGTTTACTTTGTGCAGCCGTGGGATAGTCTTACAAAGTCTCTGAGCCTGCGCTGTTGTGAGCAGAGATTGTTGAGTTGTGTCTGGTGACTGCTACCACTGAGGGGCAGGATACAGAGCAGGCCCTGGAATCAGTGATGACCAGACCTTAGACGTGTTTATGGGCCACTCTGAAATGAGGCCACAGAAAATGGGGGGAGGGGAGGTGTCTGGTCCCTGGCTGGGCACGCAGTCAACAGTGAATTTTGTTTTTATTTTTTATTTTTGAATTTTTTTTTAATTTTTTTTAAAATTTACTCATTTATTTATGTGAACACTTATGATTTTATGTGTACCACATACACACAGGTGCTTGCAGAGGCCAGAGAGCACTGGGTTCCTTGGAGATGGAGTTAGGGGAATTGTGAGCCACCTGATGTGTGTGCACTTAACCATTTAGTCATCTCTCCACCTTTGCTCCTTCTGAGCTGTTAATCCTCCCAGCAGAGTCTCAGGGGAAGGGTGTGGGTGGGACATGGGTCCCCATTAAAGTCTGGAAAGTGGGGAGCAGAGGACACAGGAGCAACTGGTACTGTGCCGTCTTCCCTCCCTCAATCATACACTTTTTGACGGTTGCCTGTTCCTGAGGGTGATCCCAGTATCAAAGGGCTGGTGTTGGTCAGCCTGTGAGGAAGGTCAGAGGTGACACTACTGCTGTCCCTGTTTTTGGTGACACCAGGTGGCTGCCTTTGACCTAGATGGGACTCTCATCACCACCCGCTCTGGAAAGGTCTTCCCCACCAGCCCCAGTGACTGGAGGTGAGGTGCGATGTAGGAAGAGGCTGGGATGGGAACCCAGAGTCCTCTAGACTACAAGTCCTTGCTACTTCCCACTGACCGCAGGATTCTGTATCCGGAGATTCCAAAGAAGCTCCAGGAGCTGGATACTGAGGGTTACAAGGTGCGTGGGTGTGGATCTTCTCTAGAAGAGCTACAGGGTGTGGTGCCTGGGGGGGGGGGCATGTTTGTGTAGTGTTCAGGCTGAGCTGTGGTAGGGTCTCCAGTGTGTCCTTATCTGTCCCTAGCTGGTAATCTTCACCAACCAAATGGGCATTGGGCGAGGGAAGCTGCCAGCAGAGGTGTTCAAGGCCAAGGTGGAGGCTGTATTGGAGAAGCTGGGGGTCCCATTTCAGGTACTGCCACAAGAGACACTGAGGGGCTGTGCGGGACTGGGACCCAGAGAGAACATGCCAAGGCATGGAATGGAGGCCTCAGCTGGGGTTATGCTGACAGGAATGTCCTTGGAGATCCCGAGCACTGTGAGGATAGTGTAACCTGGCCACCTCCACAGGTGCTGGTGGCAACACATGCAGGGCTAAACCGGAAGCCAGTGAGTGGCATGTGGGACCATCTGCAGGAGCAGGTGAGCATTCCCAGCCCAGCCCTCATGACCCTTGCTCCTTTGCCCTCCCGGGTCCCTGCCATCTGTCAATCCCAGCTTTGGACTTGGGAGACCGGCACTCTTATCTGCAGAGCAGAGGAACTGAGAAGCTGCAGCTCAGGAGTCAGGGTTTAGCCTTTGAGGTCTAAAGCAGTGGGTGAGCAGAGATGCTCGTGGCTGAGGGGAGAGCCTGGCAAATATCAGGGACGTGGGAAGGTGGCTGAGGAGGTGGCCCAAGGGTACAGATCTAGAAAGGCAGGCACTGACACAACCCGAGTGGGAAGAGCAAGAGAGTCAGGGCTGCTGTGGGTTGTGCCCTCTGGAAGCCACTGGGGAACAGGTGAGACACGCAGCGGCAAAGTCCTTGTGTATGGGGTACAACCAGTCCCTCTGCTGTTCCATATGGAGGGGCTTCTCACCGCCTCTCTTTGCAGGCCAACGAGGGCATGCCCATTTCCATCAGTGACAGCATCTTCGTGGGAGGTAAGAGGAACAGGCTTTGGGGGTATGAGGAACCTTGTCTGTCCTCAGTGGTGGACAAGGTCACCCTCCTTACAGATGCAGCAGGGCGCCCGGCCAACTGGGCCCCAGGGAGAAAGAAGAAAGACTTCTCTTGCGCAGACCGGCTGGTAAGCCTGGTGGTATCCATGTCCCCCATCCTTCCCCGCACCCACCTCTGCTGCACCTCTGAACCCTTCAGACCCATCTCTCCCCCAGTTCGCCCTCAACATCGGCCTGCGCTTTGCCACTCCAGAGGAGTTCTTCCTTAAGTGGACAGCAGCTGGATTTGAGCTTCCAACTTTTGACCCGGTGAGACCCAAGGGAAAAGCGTTGAGAGGCTTTTTATTTGCTTGGCTCCCAGGCTTATACCCCCTTTTGTTCCCCTGCCAGAGGACAGTCTCCAGCGCTGGGCCCCTCTACATCCCAGAGTCCAGCATCCTCCTCAGCCCCAACCCAGAGGTGGTGGTCACAGTAGGATTCCCTGGGGGTGAGATGCCACAGCCCAACCAATCTCTGGCTCCCCGGGCAATCGTTTGGTTCTTAGACTCTAGCTGATGGCCACACTTCCCCACAGCTGGCAAGTCCACCTTCGTCCAGGAACACCTGTTGCCGGCTGGATACGTCCACATAAACAGGGTGAGTGGGGCTGTACCCTCCCTCAGAGCACTGTTCTTGGGGTGGGACTCTCCAGACTGACTGTGACCTGTTCTGGGTCCCATAGGACACGCTGGGGTCATGGCAGCGTTGTGTGAGCTCATGCCAGGCAGCACTGAGGCAGGGGAAGCAAGTTGTGATTGACAACACCAATCCAGATGTCCCAAGTAGGGCCAGGTACTGGAACCCTGGGGTGGGGTGGGGTGGGGATGGGGACTGAGTGCTGGGTGGCAGCGATAGCAGCACTTGCCCCCTCCACAGGTACATCCAGTGTGCCAGAGATGCAGGTGTGCCCTGTCGCTGCTTCAACTTCTGTGCTACGCTGGAGCAGGCTCGCCACAACAACAGGGTGAGCCACACCCTCCAGGCTCCGCCTCTCTCTAAGCCCATGCCCCCTGACCTCTGTGCCTCTCTTTTCTGCAGTTCCGCGAGATGACCGACCCCTCGCATGCACCGGTGTCAGACATGGTCATGTTCAGTTACAGGTTCAGGGGACTGAAGGGTACAGGAGGTGGTGGGGTACAGAGCCTCCCCTTCCCCACCTAACACCCCTATCCCACAGGAAGCAGTTTGAGCCACCCACACTGGCCGAGGGCTTCCTGGAGATCCTTCAGATCCCATTCCGACTACGGACACATCTGGACCCAGCACTGCAGCGGCTGTACTGCCAATTCTTGGAGGGCTGAGCCCACAATAAACAATGTTGCTACTCTGCTCAAGACCACCTTGCTGGGCATGTGGGAGGCAAACCTGCCATGGCATTCTACACTGAACCTGGGCTTACAAGTGGGCTGTTGTGCACCCAGCACACCTGGCTGAGGAATTGAGCAGCCAGGGCCATTCTGGGGTGCTAGAGTCAGCAACAGGTGTTAGAACCCAGTTGTGGGACACTGGACCTTATGTAAATTTGCTTAAACATAACAAAGGCAGGCCGTCACTGTGGTAACTAGCCTCATAAGCCTACCTTTCCACCTAACGGGACACATCTCCTAAACCGCCAGACTCAGCTCTGCACATGGGTGGATCCACGCTGTGTGACTTCTGGACACACTCATCTTGCACTGAGCATAGAATTAGCAGGGAGGGACAATGTGTGGGTTAAAAGGTTTTATTAGGGAAACATAACAGAGGCAAGGACCATCCTTGGAGACCTCAGGACGCTGTCCTTCAGGTTGCTGGGCAGGTACAGTCCCCAGGAGCCCCTGCTCAGAAGCATCTAACCTGGGAGGCAGTAGGAGGGGGTGGCTTCTACTCGTGAGACTGCACCCCACCCCTAGGCCCTGGCACCCATACCTTGCCAGGGACACAGGTGGTGCCTCATGCAGTGGCTTCCCTAAAGCCAGGGCCACCCTGCTGCTTCCTGGGAAAAGAAGTGCTGCTCACCAATCTCCACTGGGCCTCGTCTGGGACTGTGGCCCACCCAGCCTGGAAGTCCACTAGCCACCCATCTGCAGAGAAAGAAGCCAAGGGAAGTTCAGAAGTGGGCACCCGGGGCAGGGCCCACGAGAGCACGCATGGCAGAGCCACCTCACCCCTCGCTGCTGCTGCTCCTGCTCCAGGCTTCGCTGCAGGACCTGCTGCTGGTTGGCGATGACACGCCGGATGCCGTTGACAAAGTTGCTCTGGTCGTGCGGGATGAGGCCGATGAAGATCTTCTTCTCCGAGGAGTACAGGAGCATGAGCACGCGCACCTCGCAGGAGGCCTTATAGGAGAAGTGCACGCAGCCCGCCTAACAGCAGGCCCGAGTCAGGACACTCATCTACACACTCCCTCAGCCACAAACTGGGATCCCTAAAAGCAGGTCCTAGGGGTCTAAAGCTGCCAGGCATGTGGCCCACCCTGAGCGAGCCCTGTTCCTTTACACTGAGACCCTGGCTATGTTAACAGTGCCAATAACCAAGCCCCCTCCCCCCCAAGATGTCCTGAGTACCTCCTGAGTTGCAGCTCAAGGATACCCTGCTCACAAAGGGAAACCAAAGCCCCAGAGTGGAGGATCTGGCCCGGGAGCTACAGGCCTCCCAAGTTCTCTGGGAGTTTTAGCCGAGCTGAACAGCATGCAGTGGTGGGGAGGGGGCTGTCACAAGGCAGGCGCCTGCTGGCACAGTGTCTATGTAATGACAAGCTGGTGCCTCAGTTCTCCAATAGAGGGCTGGCGGAGGGAGGGGACAAACATGCAAACCTAGGAGGCCCTGGTGCAGCTGCAGGCTGCAGGCCCTCTACTCACGAAGCCATTGTCCATGACCCGGCACAGACTCTTCAGAGTGTCCATGTCCTTGGTGAAGTGAAACTGTACCAGGCGCGAGTTCCGGAACAGCGGCACCAGGGTGGTCAGCAGCTGCTGCGGGATGAGCTGCATGAAGAGCTTCCGTGGCCACTGGTCCGTCCGCCTGCCACACCAGACAGCAGCTGTCAGACACAAGGTCTCCCCAGGGGCCTGCACCGCCCACTCGCCTGCCCACCCCACCCCACCCCACCCCACTCACAGGATCTCCCCTTGGTTCACATAGATGTGGGATGGCAGCCACCTCTTGGACCGGCTATTGGGCTCAGGCCTGGGCTTTGGGGCAAAGCAAGAGGGCACTTCAGGGGAGGGAAGGGGGTGGGCCAACAGCCCACAGGGCCCAGCAGCTCACCTCCTGCCACTCCATGACACCACTCCATGCCAGGAATTTGTTGTTGACAATCTGAACAGGTCCAGAATGCACGCCTCCAGGGCCCACGGCCTGTGGGACAGGACACCAGCTGCTGCCAGCAGCTTCAACTCCTAACTTCCCACTCACTAGCTGGCTGCAGCCCTGACCATAGTCCAAGCAGGCCGAGGCCTGGTCCTGCCCTCACTGTCAAGTCTCTGTCCCGGGTGGTATGGAGGCCCACAACTATCTTTAGCAGCTACCAGGTGAACGCCATTTGGAAGCCAGGTGTCAAGACACAGGTCACCCTCCAGAGACTTTGGGCCTCTTGCCAACCCACTCCTGCTCTACAGAGCATTCCACACCCAGGACCCACCCCTGGGCCATCCCCTGTACCCTTCAAAACCTATAAACTCCCTTCCCCGCCAAGCCCTGTCTCCTCCCAGCTCCCTGGTGCTCCTCCTTCCTGCCTTCACCACCCTCCAGCCAAGTGTAGACGCTGTACCGACTGGGACCAGAGCCAGGCTGCACCCAGCTGGCACACCTGTTTGCGGGTGGTGATGACCTGCCGTATGGCATTGACAAAGCCACTCTGGTCGTAGGGGATGAGGCCCATGAAGATCTTCTTCTTGGATGAGTACAGGAGCATGAGCACGCGCACCTCGCAAGGAGAAATGTGGGGGAAGAGCATGCAGCCCGCCTGTGGGGACAGGGCTGCAGATCAGGGCCTGGCCCTCCAACTCAACAGCTGACCTGCTCGGATAGGCCAGGGCACCAAAACACGGCTCAATCAAGGTTTTCCCAAGAGCAGGTGAATCACTGATGAGGGGCAGGACACAGGCAGGTAGGCACCAAAGACCTATATGGCAGTGTCCCTCCCTTCTCTACCAGCCCCAGCCTTGCTGCTAGGTTAATAGCAGGTGGCAGGGACTGGAGAGAAGATGCAGCAGTGACACCTGGCTGTTCTTGTTTGGACCAAGGTTTGGTTCCCAGTTCAGTCTTCCACAGTCCCATGGGATCTGATGCCCTCTTCTGGTCTCTGCAGCACCAGGCATACACATGACACACACACCATAAATGACCAAAAACCAATCCCTAAATTTTTAAAGAACAGGTGGCAGGCCAGGCTGCTGTGTCTGTCACTCAAGGAAAGGCACCTCCCATGTTAGGATCCCAGTGTCCCCACCTGTAAGACACAGCAACCGCATACACAGTGGCTGCTACATAGCTGAAACTATACAACCACAGCTGAGATGCCAGTCCTCCCTCTTCAATGGGAGGACAGCTATTTGTAGGCCACCCCATCCTGTGCCAGGATGGACAAGAACCTCTACCTCACTGGCCAGCCTTCTACACGAATTCTCCAGACCCCGGGCCCAGCTCCAGAATACTATCCCAGAGCTGCTTGCTACTGGCACAAGGTTGCAGCCTCACATGTCCCAAGTCTGTGGGGCCCAGAAAGGGATATGATCCGTGGAAGTGGTCAAGTGGGAAAGGCAAACCAGACTAAGGCAGAGCTGGGGACGAGTCTGGAGTCTAGTCCTCAGCATGCATGTGCTGGTGGCTTCCTTCCATCCTGTCCTGCCACCTGTCCAGTCCAGGGACCTCAGACTGGGTCCACAACAGTAGGGGCTGGTCACCAGATGGCAAGGACACCGTCAACCACCACCACCACCACCAGACAGACAGACAGACAGACAGACAGATGCACGCACGCACGCAGCCCTGAGAAGCAAGGCAGCAGCTGGGAGCATTTTGCGCACTCTGGCCAGCCCATAAGCTCAAGTACCACCCACCAAGATCCTGGGATGACCACGAAGAGGTACAAGAAGACTTCCATCACAGGGCAGAACTCAGTCCCGCCCCACCGGCCCCCATCCCCACTCACGAAGCCGTTGCCCATGATGCGGCAGAGGCCCTTGAGCGAGTCACAGTCTCTGTTGGTGAAGTGGAACTGGGCCAGCTGAGAGTTTCGGAAGAGGGGGCCCAGTGTGGTCTGTGGATGACAAGGGCACCACTGATCATGTAAGGCAAGCGTGGGAAGAGCCTGGGGAGAAAGTTTGGCTCTGGGGGCACAGTCCCACTGGTCTCACCAGCAGCTGCTGTGGGATGAGCTGCATGATCAGCTTCTGGGGCCACTGGTCCGTCTCCCTGCAGTAGGGAGTGCATCAGAAGCCATTCCCTGCATCCTAGGCTGCCCCGGGCTCTGCCCACTCCCACACTCACAGGTTCTCGCCCCGGTTCACGTAGGCCTGGCAGGGCAGGGTGCGCTTCAGCTTGGCTGTGGAGTCCGAGAAGGGTCTACGCTTCTGCAGGCGGGAGGGGGAGTGGAAGACTCAGCCCAGCGCCCAGGCCATCCATACCCTCCACTAGCCCAGGCATCTGGACCCAGTCAGGCTCACCTCCTGCCACTCCAGCACGCCACTCCAGGCCAGCAGTTTGTTGCTGAGCCGGTGCTCATTCACTGCAAGTCCCCCAAGAGAGAGCCCAGGTGAAGAGGGCCCAATAGGCCCGAGGGCCCCAAAGACTCGAGCACCTTCCTGCAGCAGAGAGGAGAATTCTGAGGTCATTCAAAGCTAGATCATTGCACACTTCCCAGAGGGAACATCCTCAGGTCCAGACTCAGTCTCCAGGTACACACTCCAAGTCCCAATCCCTTCCCCAGCAGTCAAAACCTCAAAGCATCATCTTGGCATTCTCGCCCTTAGAGCACTGTCAGAAAGCTGTGGGCTGCATCCAGGCCCCAGGTCAGAGCCACCTTAAGACCACTGTCCCCCAAGAGGAGACTCCCACAAAGGATGGCCTTTCCTGAGAACCCCAAGGAGACATAAACCAGACACCAAGTTAAAAGACGACCCTGGAGAAAAATGGGGAGATTCCCAGAGGCTACCTTGCACCAAACATTTGATCTGAATGAATGCTGAACGATGTTGCTAAGCAAAGCCACAGATCCTCCCTTCCCCCACCCCAGCGTGCAAGCTAAACTCTTCAGCTGAAACATTTCCAAAAAAAAAAAAAAACAAAAACAAAAACAAAAAACAAGCGGGGTCCTGGCCCAGCCTTTGAACAAACAGACCGGTCGTGCCTCCAGGCTGAAGGCCCTTCTGATAATCGCGAAGGCACCCGCTGCTCATGTCTAAGCTCATGAGGCCTTTACACCCTGCGTGATGACAAACCAGAACGTGTTCTCCCGGCGTCCTAAGTAGCAGACCAGCCTAGGTCTTCAGTTAACACTGCCGAGGGGCCTTCGTGATGAGCATAGCCCTGCAGCACCAAGCCCTAGGGATTACAGCAAACGGGACTGGACCACCTGGCCTGCACGCGTGCTTTGAGACAACACTACAAGTGCTCACACGTGTCAGTGTGTGAGCGACCACAGTCGGGCCTAAATGAAAATCAGGCAAACATACTTAAGCACGCAAAAGAAATCCCAGACTGTTTAAGTGTGGAGTGAGGGAACCACTGAAATGCTTCTGATTTGTTTTTGCCTGCACCCCACGAACACCTGTATGCCCGCAACAGCAGGGAACACACTGGTAGAGAGAGCACAGTTAGGGACTCCGTTAAGCGAGACTCTGGAGTTAAGTTCGCGTCCACGCATGTCTGACTTGCTGTGGCAAAGCCAAGCCACATTTGTGAGGAAGGGCCGCATCTGAGGACCCCAAGAAGCAGCGTCCAACATTAAGGGAAAGCTTCAGGCCTAGGCTGCTGCGTTACAGCGAGGGGTGTGTCTGCGTTCCGCAGGTGATCCGAGTAGCAAACCCGCCTAGGCTCGGCCGTGGACAACGTCATCACAGGGTATTGAAGCGGTCAGAGTGAAGCCAGGGAATAGCTCAGAGCTGGCCAAGCATGCGCAGGTGTGGCCACGAGTCAACCATCACAATGGGCAGTTTTGTTTCCCAAGAAAACCTCAATGTTTCTAGAAAGTGCACGCACGTTATATTGTGGGCAGAGGCGACAGCCACACGAACCTACACAGCTGAATGTTTACCTTAAGCCTTCCTTACCTTCAGGCTTAAGGTCTGGGCTCGGGGCGGGCGCGCAAATAGAGGGGACTGTCCACAGTCGCCATCTGGCCCCGGGGGGACAACGCCCCCGCGAGCAACAGCTGGGCGCGAGTGTACACGCCGGGCTCCTCGCCTATTTCCAGACCCGGAGCCCGAGGACCAACTTTGCAATTGGAAAAACAGGCGCTCACGCCAGGCGACCCCCGCGCGCGTGTGCAGCCGAACGCGCGGTCAGCAGTAATTCGAACCCGCCCCGCCCCCGTACCCCGCCCCCCCCCCCCCCCCCCCCCCCGCCCAGGCCGCCGCGCAACAAAGGGGAGCGGACCAGAGGCTGATCCGGGACTCCGGGTGCGCCCTCCCGCGGGAGACCCGTGGGCGCTGCGGACAAAGGCGCCCGCCAGAGGAGGGGCGGCAGGGCGGGGCGTGCGTGGAAGGCTCTGGAAGCAGACCCGGAGACTCACCATGGGAGGGGCCGAGCGGGCCCGGATCCGCGGGGGCTGCGGGCCTCGAGGACCGGCGGGCCAGGAACGCGAGCGCACAGAGCGCACGACCAGGGGCCGCGGTGGCCGGCCGCGACCTCCGAGGGGGCCCCCGGCACCGGAGCGGTGTGGGGCACGGCGCGGGCGGACCATGGCGAGCGGGAGGCCGTGGGCCTCACGGGGGGCTGCGGGTCCGCCGACCGATAGGCGCGGGAGCGCGGCTTCAGGAAGACGCGAAGCGGGACCGCGGCGGCGGGGGACGCGCCGCTGAGGGGTCGCCGAGGCCGAACCACTGCAGCGAGCGGGGGAGCCCGGCGCCGACCAACGCGGAGCGAGGGGGGGGGACCGGAGCCGACCAACGCGGAGCGAGGGGGGTCGGCGCAAACCAACGCGGAGCGAGAGGGGGGAGCCGGCGCAAACCAACGCAGAACGGAGAAGTGCGCTGAGAAACACCGTGAGCGGGGTGTGACTGGAGCCTACCAAGGTCAGAGGGAGGATTTCAGACTTGGAAATGACAAGAGTTGGAAATGACAAGAAGGAGAAACTGCAATAAAGTTTGAGTAGGTGGGACGATACCAAGTCCTCTCTGCTGGGGGGAACAGAAGGTAGACAAGCTAATGGGCGGCGCGATGGAACCTACCAATAGAGGGGTGGATGAAAGGACCGGCGTAGGCGGTGACGTGGCATGGTGCACAAAGGACTACAACTCCCAGCTGGCTTCGCGCGACCTGGGCGGGATCTGGAGGCCGGGCCTAGCCTCTTGCCCATTCGCTCTGGGCACGCCTACCGTCCCTGTGCCTTATAGGACTGCGCAGGGGTATTTCTTGCTTCGGTTTTTCACCTGTAATGTTACCTAACCTTAGAGTACCTGAGCTCAAATTAACTCATTGTGATAAGTGCTTCGCGCCGTATCTACTCAAATGTTACCGTATGTAGCCCCCGGCTGACCTCGAGCTCCGGAGCGTCCTGTCTCCTCCTTTATTGGGAGTATGCGTCGTCACACTTAGCTGTCGAGCTAGTAGGGTACTGAGAGTTGAAGCGTGCAAGGAAAAGCTCTCCCTTGCCTTTTTTTTAAAAAAAAAAAAATATTTAGCCGGGCGGTGGTGGCGCACGCCTTTAATCCCAGCACTCGGGAGGCAGAGGCAGGCGGATCTCTGTGAGTTCGAGACCAGCCTGGTCTACAGAGCTAGTTCCAGGACAGGCTCCAAAGCCACAGAGAAACCCTGTCTCGAAAAACCAAAAAAAAAAAAAAAAAAAATATTTATTTATTTATTATGTATACAATATTCTGTCTGTGTGTATGTCTGCAGGCCAGAAGAGGGCACCAGACCTAATTACAGATGGTTGTGAGCCACCATGTGGTTGCCGGGAATTGAACTCAGGACCTTTGGAAGAGCACGCATTCCTCTTAACCACTGAGCCATCTCTCCAGCCCCCTCCCTTGCCTTTTTTTAAACAAGAAAACTTATTGGTAGTCTACCGTGTTCTGCCTAAATGATTCAAACACTACTTTCACCAAATTATACCTGGCCCCTCGCAGCACATACCACAAGCTAACCGGAACAAATGCCCTGTGCAGTAGGCTAGCTTTATTTAATGTTGTGTTTTATAGATGATTTAAACAAAAAAAAAAAAAGGTGAGAGAGAGAAGCAAGAGAGCTCAACTGGTAAGAGTCCTTGCCTGCCTGCCATGAAGCATGACAATCTCGCTAACCCACACAAGGAGCAAACTAACCCCTGCAAAGTGCCCGAGCCCCACACAAGTCCCATGGCAGATACGCACACAGTAATTCAGAGCCTGCTTGGACTATAAAGTTCAAAACCTGACTGGACAGCTAACTTAGCAACGGCCTTGTCTCAAAAAAATAAAACAACGGGAGAACCCAGGAGTAGTGGCACACAGCAGTAATCAAGAGGTGAAGGGACAAGGACCAGGAGTTCAAAGCCAGCATCAGCAAGCAACCTAGTGAGACCAAAGCCAGCCTGGACCACACAGGACTGCAGTCTCGGCAGAGCCAAAGCTGACTGGGGGCTGGTGGAGGGGGCATGGCTGTAGTCAGTGGCAACAGCTGGTTTTGAACCTGAGCCCAAAGGTTTTGTAAGAGAGAGTGGGATATAGGATGACAGACAAAGCCAAGGTTGACTGAAGAACAGGTGGGGCAGAGCTGTCTAGGGAGAACAATTTCTTATTTTTAAAGTTTTATACTTTTGTGTGTGTATGGGTGTTTTGCCTGAATGTATGCCTCTACACCTTGTGCTTGCCTGCCTGGTGACTGTACAGGCTAGAAGAGAGTTTAGGATCCCCTGGAACTGGAGTTAAAGATGTTTGTGAGCCGCCATGTAGATGCTGGGCCTCAAATCTGGGTCTACTTTCTCTGCCATCTCTCCAGCCTCTATTTTGATTTGTTTTGCAGTTTGTTTATTCTCTCTCTGTCTCTCTCTCTCTCTCTCTCTCTCTCTCACACACACACACACACACACACACAGTCACTGCTCATTGGTGGAAGTCAGCATCACTCTTTGGAGTTAACCCAGGGATGAACTCAGCTCTAGGGTTTGCTGCAGGTGCCTTAACAGGCTGAGACATCTTCCCACCTTTTCACTGCTTTTAGGAAATGTCTCACTATGTAACTCAGGTTGGTCTTGAACTCCAGATCTTCTTACCCTAGCTGCTCAAGGGCACAGGCATTGCCAATATGCCCTAGCTATGACTTTCTTCTTTGGTATGGGAGGCAGGAAGCACGGCACCACACTTCAGAGCTATGACAGATCACTGCCAAGTTTTTCTGGGGGGCGGGAGGGGTGTGTGGGTGGTTTGGATTTTTGTGGGGGGTAATTTTGTTTGTTTAGACAAGGTCTATGTAGCTCTAGCTAGTATGGAACTCACTATATAGTCAAGGCTGGCCTCAAACTGACAGAAATTTACCTGCCTCTGCCTCTTGAGTGCTTGGCAGGGATTAAAGGCATGAGCCACGATGTTTTTCTGTGTATCCCTAGCTGTCCTGGAACTCACTCTGTAGACCAGGCTGACATCGAACTCATTGGTATACTTGCCTCTGATCCCTAGCGCTGGGATTAAAGGTGTGTGCCACCACCAGGTTTTTTAATCCTTGTATGTTTGTGGACAGCCAAGACTACACATTTGAGACTCTGTCTCTAAAAGCGGAGGCACAGGAGAGATAAGTTGCAATTAAGAGCATTTATTGCTCTTCCAGAGGACCCAGGTTTGATCCCCAGCATCCACTTGGCAGCTCACAAATATCTGTTAACTCCAGTTCCAGGGGATTGATCCTATGCCTTTTTTGGCCTCTATAGGCACCAAGAAAGTACATATAGATATACATGCAGACAAAACACCTATAAACATAAAGGAAACATTTAAAATATATAATAAAAATGTAAATTAAAAAAGCAAGGGAAAGCCGGGCAGTGGTAGCGCACGCCTTTAATCCCACGATTTGTGAGGCAGAGGCAGGCGGATCTCTGTGAGTTCGAGACCAGCCTGGTCTACATGAGCTAGTTACACCAGGACAGGCTCCAAAACCACAGAGAAACCCTGTCTCAAAAAGCCAAAAAAAAAAAAAAAAGCAAGGGAAACTGGGTGTGGTGATGGCAATGGCGCACGGCTTTCATCATTCAGGAGGAAGAGGCAGGCAGATCTCTGTAAGTTTGAGGCCAGCCTGGCCTACATAGAGAGTTCCAAGACAGCCAGAGCTACACAGAAAACCCTGCCTCAAAACACAGGGCATGCCGTGGGTGACTCAACAGAAAGAAACTTGCAGCCGTTGGGTCGGACATGACCTGAATTTCAACACCTGAAACTCGCAATAGAAGGATAGGACTTTCAAAAGTTATCTTCCAACCACACACACCCCACCTCACCTCACACGTGCACACAAAAGCAGGGCAGGGGCTGGAAATCAGGTAACAGTAATTCATTAGCATGCAGGAATTCTGGGTTCATTGTGAGCATGGCATGGACCAGACACAGTCGTGCAGGCCTGTAACCCCAGCCCTGGGAGATTAGTTCAAGGTTATCCTCTGGTACTTCAAGAGTTTTGAGAGCAACCTGGGTGGTAGCATGTCTCGAATACTTCACTCGAATACTTCGGCATGGGTGTGTGGGTTCACATGGGTCCGAGAAATGGAGACTGAGAGACGCACTGAGAATGAACTTAGCCTCTCTGGCTGCAGGGGCTCACTCTCGGTGGGTAAACTGAAGCGCCTTGCCTTCCCCTCCCAGCATCTTAATTTTTCCCTATATTTACACGTTAGCCAGAAGAGTTTCATATCTAAGGCAGTGCACGCCTTTAATCCCAGCACTTGGGAGGCAGAGGCAGGCCTTTTTTCGGGTGGTGGGAGTTTGAGACAGGAACTCGCTCTGTAGACCAGGCTGGCCTCGAACTCACAGAGATCCGCCTGCCTCTGCCTCACAAATCGTGGGATTAAAGGCGTGCGCCACCACTGCCTGAAGTGACTGTCACTTCTTTGTTTTCAGAAGATTTTCTAATTTTGCATTTCTGTGACTGTGAATGAATCTATGCGGGTATGCAGTGCTCTGGGGAGCCAGAAGAGGGAGCGGGTGACCTGGCTGACATGGACGCTGGGAAATGAATCCAGGCCCTCTGTTCTTAACCTCTGACCCATTTGTTGGCGGCCAATGTCATCTCTGCTTTAGAAACAGGTTCTGACTGACAGTGTTGTTTGTGGCACTGGGCCCCCAAAGCTGGACAAGCACTCTACACACTAACGACAGACTGTCTTTGTTTTGGTTTTGAACTTGGTCTTGCTATCTGTCTTGTGTTGGAACTGAGAAGACCAGGCTGGCCTTGAACTCCTGTAGTTCCTGCCTCGACCTCCTGAGTATCCTCTTCCAGGTGAGAAAAAAAAAAAAAAACAAAAACCCTGGCTGCTCTCTTTTCTCCCTAATTTTTCTGTCCTCGGCTTGTGCCTGGCCTGCTCCTTTGGCAAGCTGAATTCCTGTCCTCCCCCCTGGTCAAGGCTGTAATGCTTCTGGACACGGTGGCACACGTTTGGTTTGCGTTTTTTTTTTTTTTTTTTTTTTTTTTTTTTTGAGGCAGGGTTTCTCTGTGTAGCTTTGGCTGTCCTGGAACTCACTCAGTAGACCAGGCTGGCTTTGAATTCACAAAGATCCTCTGGTCTCTCCCTCACAAGTGCTGGGTCTAAAGGTGTACACAGCCATGGCTGGCCTGTGGCACTCACTTCAGGAGGCACTGAAGGCAGGTCTCTGAGTTCAAGGTCAGTCTGGTCTACTACAGGGCACGACCACCTCCAAACAAACCAGTGCTGAGCTCTCTG